AAACTGCTCTTCCATCTTGTTCCACTCTCAGATGGCCAAGCAGATCTCAGCCAGTGTAAATACCAGGCTTTCTTGTCCATGAAGTTCAGCATCACTTTGGAACGTGTGGAGTTCTGAGAAACAAACATTACTAAACATGTCCAGCTCATTAAAGGCTGAGAAAAGCCATAACGTGGTATTGCTGTCCAAACATCATCTTGTAGCACGTAAAAATGCCCCTTTCTGCCCATAGAGAGAGCAAGACAACCATCATTCAAGTACAGAAGGAATAAACTTTAAAAATACAAAGACAGAATTATAATGGCTGGAGACAGAAAGCAGACACTTCTGTATTTAAAAAAAATCTAGCAACCATTCGACGCAGAATTCCTCCACAATGCTACATCAGAACCCAATCCACCTGAGCGTTTCTGCAATTTCTTCTAGAGTCTGCACTCACATCAGAGGTCTCACCAGATTTGTCACAGGGCCCTGGATGAAAGAACAGCTGCTACAATATCAACCGCTGCTACAGTATTCAGCTATATGATTTCACTTCTGCGTTTAAAAGAGATTGAAGAGCACCAGGACACGTGTCCAGAAGGTCTGTCCCCATTTTCTTTTCCCCTTGAGATTCTTACTGCAGAAGGCCAAACAAAATATGGAAGTTTAAGAAATTTTTTTAAATGGTTGAGAATACTGATCTTTGCTCTACAACAATCTCTAAAGGAAGCACAGGTCACATCTCCTTTTATTGTTGCAGCAATAAAATGTGGTGACAAAAATTGTGTCAACACAGTGAAGGCATAGGAAATTATCCTTTAGGGCAGTACATATATATGTAAGATTTGAGGAATATGATTTTGAATTTTTTTTTTTTTTCAGTGAGATGCCTCGGAGTACAATTATTTCTGGAAGAAGAGTATCAAAAGTACAATCTTTTTACCTTACACTACAAAGGTGATTAAGACCAGAACCTCGTGACGTAGCGTAACACAAAAGGAGTTCTTCCATACAGCACTGGAAAACATGGGGAGGGTTAAGGCAGCGATCTGAAATAACTGTACTCTTTCTTCACAATTTGCAAGACTTATTTAACTATAGAATTCTATATAAAAAAAAAAAAAAAGAGAGCCAAAATAATTTGTGAGGTTTTTTTTCCTTTATGAAGAAATTTAAGTATTTTCCACACAGTCAAAATAACAAAATAATCAACTGCAGAAGGTTTCTCCGCCATAAGTTGTGTTGTACCTCAAATTTCTACATTTTGAGTCTTTCTGGAATTAACAGAGATAAATGTTTTAAAACAGTCTGAATCCTGCACGTTGGCCAGCTGGATTTTGTTAGCATTTGATCACACTAGATTTCTACTACGCTTCCAATTTAATTATGTTTTCAATTTTTCTTTTCATGAATGTTTATGATATAAACAGACAGCAACGGGAACTAGTGATTATTCTTACTGGGATGCTCTGTTCTGTGGGGAAGCACCTTGGCACATCACCCTTTGTACCATTTGCTGAAGCTTAGCTTTGGAAAGGGTGGAGCATCTACTGAGACACTTCCTGATGACAAAACTAACACAGCATTTCAGATTCAGAGGTTATAAATACTAGAAGTTATGCTTACTAATCACACTAATTAGTCATTATTTAATTATTAGTGTCCTATTTAATTAATAATACAAGACAGGCATTTCAGGAAAAGGTGAGCTACCATGTAGTCACATTTACTCAGCTTTTAAATGTCTGTATTCCTTGAATTCAAGCCAGAAACAAAATAGTATCATAATAGTAAAAGAATTTTTTTTCTCCTTATAGACAGCACTACTGTACAGCTCTCCTGCCTACAGCTTATTTCAAGGCAATTTTCATGTAAGTTGTGGTGAGACACCCCTGCTTCCCACTGAGAACCCGTAGTGCTGGCAGACCGCGTAGTCGCTGGCTAACACAAGCAAAGGGTGGAAGAAATAGAGAAACTTAAATGGAGGTTAAAGCGAGCTGCACTCATCTGCTTCTTTCCTCCTGCTGGGTAAAGGAGAGTACATTTCCCTCAAGGAAAAACTACAAAATTGAACATTTCAAGGGTGAAGACTAGTTAGCTGATAGAGACTGAAGTTAGTTTCCATCCAAGGAACTTTCATACCAAAACGCTTGCCCAAGCGCCCATCGCTGCTCCTCCAAGCTGCAGGAGACATGACTGATGCAGCTCAGCTGCTGGGAAAATGATGCTGAAGAACAGAAAGCAGAAGTACTCTTCAAACTAAATGTCAAAGAAAGTGTAACCTGATGCGTGCTCCCCGACTAGTTTAAGCAAACCCTTGTGACCAGAGTAACAGTAAGTCAGGTACAAACATGGCTGGAGAAAAAAAAAAAAATAAAAATATCAAGAGATAGAAAGAAAGGTAAAAGCAGTACAAATGAATAAAGAGAGGAGGCATTTTGTTTTGATTTTGGAAAAATAACTCCCTTCCCATGATGGTACATCTTAATGATCCTTGAAAACCCACTCCATAGGAAGCCAAAGCAATTGGCTGTCAGTCAAAGATACCCCAAGACAGACAAAGGGGCTCAACTTGTCTTAAAATTTTAGAAGTTTATTATCTGCTGTCCTTCAAGAAGCTACCAAAATAAGTTACTGTAACTAATAAGTACTATCTCGCATCTTAAAACTTTATTATAATAACCTTTCAGCAGCATGACTGTAGCTGTTATAAAGTCCTCATAATTTAGTCCAGACACCAAAAATAAAACCACTCGGATTAAGGAAAGATTTTTTCCCTCTGACAAAAGAACAAAGAAAACTCTACTATAAGCACTCAAACTATTTTACAACACAGGACCGAAGTAGTTTGGTTTTAGCATTCAAAATGCGTTCTCCGATTTTAAACAGATTTAAAAGAACTTCTACAATTTTTCTACTAATTACTGTGTTTAATATGGCCATAGAGTCTATTATTCTTGAAGAGGGCATTTTCACTAGCGACACTGTTCATTCCACTGTCAGTAACACTCTGTCATAATTTTACTATAAGTACATACTCTAGAATGCTTATAACTCAACAACAACAATATGATCAAAGTTGAAACTTGGCATGCAAGGTTTCAGCCCAGAAACAATTCTTATTTATTATGTTTTGAATCAAAGCTTACAAAACTAGTATGCTATCTTTTCTTCTGAACACTTCAACTGCAAAATAAACACAAGGTACTTTTGCTACATTATCCTCATAATCATCTTTAAAGTTATAAAGACAACCCAAATAATTAAAAGTAACTCATGAATTAGAGACTGAGAGCAGTGCACATTAAACAAGTGTTGTAGCACTCTGAACATCCTTTTATATTTGTGCATTTCTGTTACTTGATAAGTGCATTTTGTCATGTAAGATTTTTAAAGAAAAGGTCTCAGAGTGATAAAATCAGTCTCAGTGTGACAAAATCCCATTTGTAAGTGAATAGAGATGGGTGAACGCAAATACCTTAGGCCAACAACTACAGGGATTGTTTTGGAACCAGCATGTGCATAACTGAATCAGATAAACATGAACATTTTACAGAGTTTGAGAGCCACCTCTTGTCACCATGGACAGTATGGAAAATGATAAGATACTCATCCTCCTTATTATCTAACCGATTAACATAAACATGTTGCACCCCGAGGAATTGCTCCCAACCTGAATTTCAGCTTGATGATTGCTGAATGTGTGTTAGACCTGATGAAGGTTCACATCCTTAAAAACATGAACATTTTTCCCCTACTTACACCAGTTGGTCTAAAAGAAAGCTGTTATTTTTCCCAGCCAATACTGCTTCTCATATAACCTTAAACTGTCATGGCTACAGCAGCAGAACTCTTAGCTTAAGAAAGACGGTTTACAAAAATTTTGTGCCCTATCACCAATACCACTCAGCCTGTAGTGTCGTGTTAAAAAGCACTTGGAAATGACATTAGCAACGGTAGACCCACCTCCTACCCTCTCATCCTTCCCTGCTGCATAACCCTTTTTTAGGGCCGTGCTAGAAGGCAGATGAGAAAAGAGATTCTTTCTCTAAAAGCAGCAGAAAGGCAGTGATAAAGAACTACAGAAGAATCATTTTTTTTAAGGCCTTTTTATAAACAGGAAACATTTTTTACAAATTTATTCACCACAACAATAAACAGCAGTTGCAGATTCCTTGAACATTAGAACTATTTTCTAATAACCAAACCCTGCAAGAACACTGCCTGGTTTTGTCCACTCAGGGAAAAAAGAAACAGATTAATCCCAGTCTCCAAAAGCAGCAGCACAGACGGCGGGTGAAACGCCCTGCGGATCCTGGGCTCTCATCACACCTGGGGCAGCAACTCCCACCAGGTCCCACTCGCCCCCACGGATCGTGCTCGGCATGAGCTCCTCTCCCCTCCTAGCCCCCGGACGCTACCCAACGCAGGAACAAAACCAAATTTAGGTTGCCTAAAGCCGTGCAGCGCTGGTGGGTGGCCGGAGGGCCGGGCACCTACGTGGAGGGAGCCCGCGCCGCAGAGGGGCCTCAGGTATCCCTCACGTATCCCTCACAGCGTCCCTCACCGTATCCCTCACGTATCCCTCACCGTGTCCCTCACGGCGTCCCTCACGTATCCCTCACGTATCCCTCACCGCGTCCCTCACCGTATCCCTCACCGTGTCCCTCACCGCGTCCCTCACGTATCCCTCACCGTGTCCCTCACAGCGTCCCTCACATATCCCTCATGGCGTCCCTCACCGTATCCCTCACGTATCCCTCACCGTGTCCCTCACCGCGTCCCTCACCGCGTCCCTCACCGCATCCCTCACCGCGTCCCTCACCGTATCCCTCACGTATCCCTCACCGTATCCCTCACGTATCCCTCACCGTGTCCCTCACCGTGTCCCTCACCGTGTCCCTCACAGCGTCCCTCACAGCGTCCCTCACAGCGTCCCTCACAGCGTCCCTCACCGTGTCCCTCACCGTGTCCCTCACCGTGTCCCTCACCGTATCCCTCACGTATCCCTCACGTACCTGGAGAACGGGCGATTCTCTGCGATGTGACACGAGTACAAAATTCCGATGACAGATATTTTCAGTGAAAGTGCCGGTGAGCATTCACGCAAAGGGAACTCGTTATGCAGGCACACGAGTAGAAATGCCGAAAGTGAGTGAACAATAACATGAAGTAACTTCTTGCTAAACTTTTGGGGAGATTTGGCCTTTTGGAAGTTGAGTAGCTTGGCCATAGAAATCCTGAAAGTGATTAAACAATAACATGAATTAACCTCTTGCTAAACCACAACTTTGATGTGTCCTACTGGTAAACTTCTTTAACTGTACTCTTATAACTCAAAAGATCCAAGACTTTTCCCCTTTTTCCTAATTAAGGGAAGGGGAAAATCCTCTGATTTCAGGCTGGAAAACATTTCTTTTACAGTAGAAGTGCTTCAAATCAAAAATACAGCACCAGAAGTATTAAACATTCCTTAAATATGAATAATCGGTTGTGCTTTACTTTAAAGTAGTATGTTATCAATTAAATATAGTACCTTATCTCTTTTTGTCCAAAAAAAAAAAAAAAAAATGTGGTTTATTGTGCAAAGACTACCCTAATATTTCCTAAATTTCTCAGCAAATAATCTTAAATGGAAGCGTTTATGTTGATACCCATGGAGCTATTAAGAAAATTTAGCATCTTAATCCCTACTATTAAGTCAGCATTTAATTGACAACTGCTAGCTTATTCCATCATTATGGGACCATAATAAACCATTGTTAAAACCAAGTAGAATCAAAATGAAAAAAAATGTTCATGTGATCTGCCCAAGCAAAGTTTCTCAGAATAAACAACAATTTTAAGATTTATTTACTTCCTTATTAAAAGCCAAGCACTTCACTGCGCTTCAGCGTTACACAACCAAAACGGGCTGGAGGTATCTTTCCTTCCAATCAAACATTTACCCTTCGCCACGGGTGAAAGGCAACAAGATCTCTTTACAACGTCTCGTCTTTTTCAATAAATTTTGCATGAAAACATGTTACCCAAGCACAAAGTTGCCTGCTGTCACATTGGAAGTATGATAAATGTTTAATGAAAACAACACCACACAGCTTGGTGTCAGACAACAGCTATCACACAGTCCTGCTTTGATCTGAACAGACACTTAAAAGGAGTTCTGAGTGCGCTTTGCACCACAGAACTCTATAACCTATATGCAAATCGGAGAAAATTACCATAAATTACTTCCTACTGCATAGCATGGAAAGAGGTAAGGAAAAAAAAAAAAAACAATATGACAAGCTCCAGGAGTGTCTGACTGCTGTCAAACTCTGAGAAGTCCAATATTCCCAATTTGCTTCTAACGTCTTCTGCCAAGCACCGAAATGCTCATCTATCACCCAAGTACCGTCCGCAGAACCTGCTGGGACACCACCAGCGCTGAGCACAGGAAATAAAACTCTAAAAGTGCTCTGGTTAAATGCCACTGGAAAAGGTCCCCTAGACAGAGGGACCTCAGCAAATATTGAGAGGCCTAACATATGGGATTAAAAGGAAAAATGGAGATCGTATTTGAAAAACAAACTCTTCAGCTCTGTCCTATCTGTCAAAGTGTTTACGAAGCTGTGAAAGCCTTAATGCACAAATGTATCAATAGCCTCATTAAATATCAGAAATTAAACTGGGGGTCAGGTTTGATTAATGGCACAACGCTTCTCTTTTCATAACAACTGAGAAGCTGCTCTTAAGTTATTCCATTAAAAATTGTCAAAAACACTTTAAAAAGTAATCCAAAATTCCACTACTAAGAAAGCGAGGGTGAAACCCATAAATCTGGTAAAAGTTATTTAAAACTAACAAGTTTTTAGCAGGCTTTTGCCCCCCAATTCAACAACGAACAACGAACCTTACAAAAAGCATGCCTTAGAATGCCAGAACTCGCATGTTTTGAAGCTAATCAAGACTTTAATCATCGAAATTCAACAGCACATGTGTACAGGTCAAGGAAAGCATGTATGCAAGTTGTTTTAAAGCAAGTGAATTTTTAAAAGCGTAAATAAAAGATGAATGAGATGCTTTGATTAGCAAAAAATTTAGCGGAAAAAATATTGTAGTGGTATAATTGCATGTTTTATGTTGATTCCTTTAAAGTATCACAGAAAAGATCTCATTGCATGTATAAGACCAAACTGCAGGGCTAATATGCTTGTCAAATAAACCACCTCACAACATTGAGAAAAAACACCTTGCAATCTATAGTGCACTTCTAAAAGGTCACTAACGTCCAAGACTCGGGATATAGGCTAGTTAATACTATATTAGCAATTCATATTCCATACAATAAAGAACAAAGCTTTCAAACTGAACCGCTGTATTAAACTTTGAAGCCAAAGAAACAGGGCAGGGGAAGAAGGGTTGCTCCGTTTCACTACAAGCAAATTATTTCTGCTTTCCCATGAGCACAATACACCGCTTCTTAAAACGAGATGAAGGAAAAAGGAGGAAACAAAATGTGTGTCAGGTGCTGGATGTCTAAAAGACAGTGACAAGGAAGTACCCCATAGGCGTATAAAATAAAAATTACATTCTGGGACTGGCTGGATGCCTGCTTTCGTCTTATCTACGGGGTCGCCAGAATAAAACCCATACTTACACATCACCTTTGCATGTCAGAAAAAGCATGCTAAGGTTGTGTCATCATAGGGGGACTACAGTACATTCTGAAAGGGTCAGAAGGAACAGAAGTTTGAACCTCTCCCAACCACGGTCTTGCTGGAGAGCTCAAGTAATACTCACGCCGCTGTAACAGGAGAAAGCTGCTTTGCTTGCCCGTAACTTATCTTTTCTATATATAGTACTTTCAATAAATTAGCATTTGATCAATAATCCAAACTGTATCTAGCACCTTGTTTTCCTATTTTGCTGGGATAGAATCTTTTCCACTAGGAATAAAGGATTTTGTAATAAAACACCCACTGTCAAAAGTTAAAATCTTATTTTAAGCGTACGTTTCTCTCTAGAAATTGCTGGAATTCAGCTTTACCAAACAACCAACAAGGTTTTTTTTGTTTGGTTTTTTTTTTGTTTGTTTGTTTGTTTGTTTGTTTTCTAAGTCAGGTTGATACGACAAAGTACAGCATTATACTTCCAGGAGGACTATCACGAATTTTCCCATAATCAATCAACACCACACAGCCAGGGCCTACTGTGAGAACTGCAACTCTCTTCTTGATAAGTCACTGGAAATTAAACCCAACCTGTCCCATCCCTTTGATGCAGAGACAAGGCTCTTCCCTTTTTATTCGGTGACCTTTTCTGATCAACGCTACCCATTTTTTCCTTTTAGCCCAAAGTGCATACCCTTGCATAAAATTCATTTTTGCAGAGGAAAAAATGAAAGCAAGGAAGAAAAACAGGAAACGGGACAGCCAAATGTAGGGCCTGATAAATTACTCTGGTAGAACAAAGAACACTACAATTTTTCTTTTTTCAGATGAACAAAAATTTAATACAAGAAAATGACTAGACTAAAACTGATTGGTAAGAACTAGACACCAGATGTCGACTACATATTACAGAGTTTTGCAGAGTTAACAGAAAATGATAACGCATCACAAAACGTATATTGGTCCTTATTTTATCAATTTGATTTTATCTATAACACTTCATAATATATAAGTAGACATCCTGCGTTCTGTAAAAATTACAGAGGTGTCGTAACGCCTCGACACAGCACTCGTCAGTTAAACTTTCAGGAGAACAGGAAAGCCAACCATGCGTGTGCTAATTACAAAGTAAGAGCACTGGTAGAGTTCCAGTATACAGCAAGGCTCCGAAGCAATAATGCACATAACATCATTACTGCAGTCATGGGTCATAACTAGAGAACAATATCATTATTACAAACAGAGAAATATGATTTGAAACTTGGCCCGGGAGACTGGATGAATAGAAAAGGCTGCAAGGCCGAGCAAGTGCTTTTACTTTGGAAATGCTGGCAACAGTTATTCAGAAAAAGCCATACCACTTATTGATTTTTATTATATCCTTCCAGGCAATAAAGCTCTTTCTCCCATGCACTGCAACAGAAATACAAAACAAACAAACAAAAAAGGGGCAGACACAGTTCAAGCTGCTACAATTGGATTAGGAAACCAAAGCAGCAAAAGCAAACTTTGATTGCTTGCAAAATGGAAGGAAAATAAGCAGCACTGCAGTAGTTGAATACAAACTAGTTAACATTTCTTGCTACCTGCTTGTCATCAGCTTTATTTTGCAAAGACTCTACACTGGAAGTAAAATAATCCTGATAATCTGAAAGATGTGTTGGCTTTTTGCTTATGAATATTTAGGATATGTGGCTGGGACACTTTCTGAGTTTGCGTTGCTTTACCTTTTAAGTGAGTACAAAACTATTTCAAAGCTTGATAAACTACTCAACGCTAAGTTTTTTCACCAAGCACTGTCAGATGCTGTAAATGAGCTTCCCAACCCAAATTCAGAGCAGCTGTTACCACAATCTCCCTCCGTAGTGGGTGAACAAATAGGGTGTATAGCCTTTAAAACATTTCAGATTGCAGGAGCAGAAGAGTTCAGCTGTTTTGCTATGATGGTAATACAGCCTGTCTCCACAAAACAGCTGACACTTCAACCTTCAAGAAGTTCCATGCTCAACCTTAGAGAACCTTCACTGAAATGGAGAATGCCAAAGGATGACGTCTACAGTACTACGGCAGAATTTTGTTCTCTTGAAATCTCCTGACGTGCTTGCTGTGAAGAAAAAGATCTACTTTGAAAGAACCTGAAGTTGCCCTGATTTAAAACCAAACACAACCCTTTCCCCCTTGTATCTACAAGCATACACAAGCCAAGCACAGAAAAGAAAATTATCATTAGAGTTTATATGAGCCACAAACAAATAAAAACATTGGCTCTGTAATTAATGCAAAAACTGCATTTTGATTCTCCACTTCAGAGAAACGGTCAGGTCCCAAATGTATGACTACTGATACCAGATAACCTGCAGTGCTGACAAACTGAAATACCTTCTTTTATGCAAAGTGAAACTATAAAGTCAACCAGCACCTGGTAATTTATATTCCACCTTCTCACAATCTGGCTCTAGGATGATCTTCATTAAAGTAGCTATTTTCACTAAATAAATTCCAAACATATACGAGCTTAGCCTGAAAAGTAGATCTGGTCCTTGATGTGTCTCGGAGTACGTGTAAGGATCTATTCCAAATACAGAGATTAGAGGACTCTTTTCTTCCTGCAGATCCCCTGCTGTTGGGGTTTCCAGAAAGGCTCTGTAGAATAATGTTACTTTCAGTATTGATCTAGACACTAGATCTAGAAATTCAGAGTCAGCTACAACAGATTCCTCTCAATATTTCACACCCAAATGTACATCTGACAGTCATTTTTTGTGTCCATTTAGACTTTCTTCCTCACAGTTCAGAGAAAAAAAAAAAAAAAAGTGAACACCAACACTGTGTTAGTTACAGCAGAACACACCAGAAAGAAAAATAAAATATTTATTTTCTTTCCTGTCCAAACTGGATCCAACTTGAGAAAAAACTACACGTTTTGAGGAGGCATCACCTATCCCTGTTTACTGTCTCTCCGATGAAGACAGCTGATGGAGTAAATTGATTTAGTGCTTCCTGGTCTCCTCGAGCACTAAGTCAACTGGGCGAGCAGGGAACCTCCAGCCAAGGCAGTGAACCCTGGTGCTGCACCAGACCGGCATCAGTCACAGAATCTGCTAAGACACTCAGCTGGAGCCAAGCTATAATAAGAGTTATAATTCTAACTGAACCCACAAAAGGACATCCAACACCACTACAAGACAAAAATCCTAAATTATACACCCTCAAAAAATATCAGGAAAACCAACTTGCTACCTTCTGCTGACCGCAGCCAACTACAGAAGGCCTTGTAGTTACTGGAAAAGAAAAAATTCTATCTCGGTGTTTGCCTCAGAAATGAGCATCAAGACAGAACAAACAAACCATAGAATCTCCCCACTGCTGCTGAAAACTGAGAAAGAAAAAAATGCCAGAAACCAACAGACTTATCCAGGCAAAAGGTTCACTCAGTTTAGGTTGTACCATCTTCCCTCCTATACATCTATAAGCTAAGGACAGGTGAGCTGCCTTGGCCAAGGACATCTTTTCTTTCCCATATTTTTCACCCACAAGGAAAATAAATACGTAAATAAATGATATAGAGGAAGAAAGCTGAGAGCTTGGGAGGCATGAGGAAGCCTCATACGAAAACACAACTATAAAACACCTTACTTGGCCTCATTTTCCTGGAGCACTCACAAGGCAAAGAGAAACTACACTAACTCTTTTTTCCCTACACATACGCATTTAAGGAAAACTGCAGATTCCTAATTCACTCTCACTAGGCTCTATAACAGAATATACCATGGACAAATATTTATGCAATAATTGCAAATAGCAATTGCATCAAAGAGCTCGCTCTTCTCTGTGTATTCAAATATGTTGCTTTGCAAAGCCTTTAACAAACAATAATGTGATGCTGATACAGTCTCAATCTTTGGAATGACAAATAACCATAAAGGGAAAAAGCTTCTCAGATCCATATTCTCTGTACAGATAAACTGTGATCACTATTTGATGAAACCAAAAAACATGTCGTCCCCCTTCAGAAAAGTTTATGAAGCACAGATTATATCAGCATCATCCTAGGTACATTTCATTTTGTAGTCTAATAATGTTCCAAGTAAGAAATCCCTGTACAAAGCCTACCAGTCAGTACCTGAGCTCAGAGGAAAACGGACTGATGTCATAAAATGTTTCTATTATCAATTTGTACTCTTTGTCCTCACTACCTTGGAAATGACCCAAACAGGGCATTTTGTTTTCAAATTTAGCATAAGCAATTTTGTAAGTTATCAAAATATAAAGCTAAATTGCTTGCTTCCAAAAAAATTCTGGGCACTTCTGTGTTCTTACTAGAGCTATCCGATATTGATCCTTGTTACAAAAGGACGTGAAGTCAGGCAGTATGCTAACAGCACACTGTCATATACTCCAACATGATTTAAGATGTGCTTCTCCACAAAGTCCAGAAAACCTCTCACACGCCAAATGTTATGTGCTCAGTATGGATCCTCTCCCTACTTTTCTACTTCGATTAAAAAAAAAAAAAAAAAAAAAAATTTTGGCTGGAACATCCAGGCTTCTCCTCAAGTCTTCTAGAACTACCAAAATATATTTCAACTGGAGGTAAAGGAGTAAAAGGCACCTTGTTTGTGACTTATCAGACATACTGCAAACATCTCAGGGGCTCCATTTACACTGAACACTACTGACTGCTGAAAACATCCACAACAAGAAGAGAAAAATATCCCCCATGGTTTAGTAAAACGAGGAAAGTAAAATGAGTGGAAGACGCCACTCTTGGCAGTCTAAGTAATGTACTACCTACAAATAAGGAAAGAACGTGCAAATAGCTAATCCCGGATAATTACATAATCAGTGCTATAACCATGGACATACAGGTGATGATATCTGAGAGATTAAGTAACCATAATCATCAAGCTGTAAAACCAGGAGGTAATTGTGAGATACCTCCACGAACATGGGTAGAAGATGCTACTCCAGAAATTCCCATTCAGCATTTCAGTGGGAATCCTCCAAAGGGAAATTAATGAGTGACACACTGGTGTCTTCCTTTTTGAAACCAATCACATAAACAAGGAAAAGACAAACATCACAGTAAAGGTTGCAGGAGATCAAGATGTCTAAAGCAGAGGTAATTACACAAATTGCCTTTTCCTGAAATCTGTAAAAACAAGACCAGAAATTCAGTTGACAGCAGGTTTTGAAAGGCAGTCCATCATTCACCCATAGCAAGTGTTTCTGCTGAAACCTCACTTTGAGCCACAAATGAAGCCCAACAAGAACTTCTGACAAGGGTGGGAGAGAAGGGATGTAATGAACAGTGAAAATCATCTTTTGGCAGGAAATAAGTCTTTGTGCTTTCCAATACTCCTAATTTTTTCCTTACATTGTAGTGGTTATGTATTGGGACAATATTTATATTAATCAACTGAATAAAGCCATTTAGCATATTTGCAAATCAAGGGGGGGGGGAGGGGGAAGAATTGTATATTAAACCATCATTTTAGTTTGAAATGTTGTCACATTCCAGAACTTTAAAATACTAAGAATTACACTGTTTGAAGATTTTAAATAATTTCCACTTAGTTTATATAAAATACCATGTACTATAAATCAAACTGATCACAAAAAAAGCAAAATGTCACTAAATTTTTCCCTGGTTTTAGTATAGTTATATTATTTGTCATTTCACTTACCCATGCTTCGTGCCACATATCTCCTTTTCTTTTCCTTTGCCCTTCTCTTTTATTTTTTCTTTCTCTCTGCCTTTACGCCGCTCTCTTTCACGAGACCCGCTATGAGTTCTCCTATGACTGGATCTTTCACTACTTCGACTATAAGAACGTTGACGAGGTCTTGATCGTGATCTACACAAAATCCATAGTATTAAAATTTAGCAGTCATACATTTTTCACTGTCACCATATGTTAGATTTGCTATCTAGTCCAACTATTTTAAACACATTTTCAAATCATTTAGTAATTTAATAGTTTTCAACAAAAAGCTGCCAGTTTATCAAAAGAAAAGTGAAAAAGAAAGCAGTGCTTCTACTCTGAGGGAAGAATGCAAAATAAATTAAACCACACTACCTAGCATTCACCCATTAACAAAGTAATCTGGTATTACTGCAGTAATCTTTGGAGCTATTGGAGAAGGAAAGGGAGGAATTTTTTTCTCGAACATTAAATTCTTAAGTTCTGATCAATTTAGCTTGGCAAATAATTGAAGACTTTACAGCTGCTACTAAGTGCTTGTATTTACATATTAAATACATTGCTGTTAATAACGACGTTCCAACAAAAGCCAGAAGTGACATGTCCAAACCCTTACCTTTAGCCTGCAAAGCTGACACATGCACACAGCTTCTTAATATCAAATTCAGATTCGAAACACACTTTGCAGAAAACCTATAAATAAGCCAACCCTAGAGGCCCAATAATGCAAGAAACTGAATACAGGTGCAAGGGTTTGTGCACATATTTGGTTCTTGGTTACAAGTTCCTACATGCCTATAGGATACTCTGTTCTCAATCATGTTATCCATTCCTCTGCAATAAATGTATGTTGTTACTAATATACTTGAATGAAAAAAGATCAAGCAGTATTGCAACGTGACTGTTTCTATATGGATCCAAAACACCTTTTCATTATTCCTGGTTTTCTCTTGGATAATTTTCTACTTTTTCATTTATCATGGATCAGGACATCTTTTCTATGGTCCATGAGTAGCTACAGCCGATGAATATTTAGGAAAACAGCAGTTCAAGTTTGCATTAGTTTCTATTACAACATACATCTTCATAAAAGTTCTGATGGCACCTCATTGAAAAGTTTAATTAAGTACTGGGGGGGAAGGGCATTTTTTAAAAACAGTATAAAAAATTTATTTAGCACCTCTTGGAGTGCAAAACTCCAAAGGCCTTTAAAAGCAAAATCACATAGAAAAGATCACTCAATTTAAAAGGCAACAACTGTTTAATAAAACTCAACAATAGAATAAGCAAAAGAAAATACTGCATCCAGATGAAGCTATAAATTACATTTAGGAAGAATGTTGCTATTGAGTCTGGAATTTGTCCAGCGTCCTGGGGTTAACATACCTATTCTTGCCACTGAGCCTTTCAGGCTAGCACCAGAGGTCAGAACCTCAGTTTTACGTTTCATTCAGCAGATGGCATCTCTTGCAACACAATATCTCCTATTATCGCGCACACTATTAGCACTAATACAATAGATCAAATTACCACTTAAGTGGCGTATTATGAACTATAGAACATTTTCGGTCTCAAAATGGATTTTTATTATGTCATCACAAATTAAAAAGCATCCATCCATTCTTTGGTCCTCAGGCAGAGAAGTTTTGGCCTAAAAGACTGTTCTGGATATTAGATCTATTTTTTCGGTTGGCACAAAGACACTGGTTTTAAATGCATCACGATGAGACAGGCAGAGGTTTAGACCACTGCCCTACAAACATTCACTATTCAAAGCTAGCCATGATTTCTGAGAACTCTGCAGGTCAGATGCAAAGTCAGAAACAGTTAAAAAAAAAAACCAACACAACAACAACAAAAAAAAACACACCACAAAACCAAACAAACAAAAAACCCACAACAAAACAAACAAACAAAAAACCCACAACAAAACAAACAAAAAACCCACAACAAAACAAACAAACAAAAAACCCACAACAAAACAAACAAACAAAAAACCCACAACAAAACAAACAAACAAAAGCCCTGTAGCAACACAAATCACCTTCTTCTGATGCAAGGCCTCCCCTAACTTAAGGGTACTGTCCTTCAAACAGAAATAACTGAGGAATCTAAAGTATTTCTTGCTAGAGAGCTTAATTTCTCAGCTCAGAATCTGAGCTTGATTTCACATCTACATTTCGCAGGTGCAAATAATGGCAAATTCGGTCCAGATTAGCTGGATGCGCAAATAGTAGATTTCTGTTTGTTCACATGTCTAGCTAGAACAAACAGCAGGTATAATTTATATACAGAAAAACGGCTTTTAAAATTAAAAGTTGACTTGTTGCATCAAATTTGTAATCATGTGCCTCTAACAGCATTGACAAACCGAAAAACGTTTTCTTTACAGAAGCTGTCACTGTTCTTTCATTTGTCACCTTTTGCACCCACAGAATTCATTAGCCTAGAGTGAGCCCTAATCATTGCTTATCCTTTGGGGTTTACAATTACAGAAAATAGCTGCTGCAGCTTGTGTTCCCCGTCCCAGCCACGCAGGTGAGGCAGGCAGATGACTATCAACGGGATATTACAGTGAAGATCTTAACAAAAATGTTAAGTTCTACTCCACAGAAGCCAGCTCTGCAGGACACACTAGTTCAGTCAATCCTTCAATTATCGGAGCAGTTGATCTGGGCTGTAGATCAGCCCGGAGCACAGATGCAGACAATCCAGAATTGGCTTCACGCAGAGCCAACTCCAGCTTGGTCAGACGTGTTAGCTCAGATAACAAGTCAGCACACGCCGAAGGGTCTTTGGGGGCAGCTCAGGTGTCACAGCCTGGCTGCAGCCCCCCAGCCCAACCCCACCTGCCCGCCGTGCCCCACGTTAGGGGATCTCTAGAGGCAACGGGGCAGGAAAAGCGTTGCAAAGGAGATCTAGTGGATTCTGCTGCACCTGAAACAACCTGCAGCGTCTCTCCCCGGCGTTTGTCCTCCGGGGGTTCAGACGCGCGCGGGGTTTATCGGCAGGGTGGAGGAGGGAGCAGCCGGGACAGAGACACCCACGCCGTAACCCGGCCTCTCGATGCAGCCACGCCGACCCGCGACAGCCCCGCACGCAGCCAGCCTGGCCCCCTCCCAAAAAGGATCTTTCCTGGGGTCTCCATCATTGTACAAAGTTCTTTGCAAATACTGGATGTTTCACTGTTTTCCCTTCATGCTGCAGAGCTACAGCCCGCCCAAATAAAACTAACTCTGCCTAAGTTCGCTGTATTTATTTATGTTGATGACCAACAGTATATATGAAGCACAGATAAAGCAACGCAGCTCCAGAAATACAGAAAGATGTACTAACCCCAATCACGAATAGGGGTGAAGGAAACAAGGAAAACTGAGGCAAAGAAAAAAGAAACAGTCTAACATTAACGGTCCCTTTAATTCCAGAATGCCAGTGAAACTTTGATTCTGTTAATCCTTTTTAACCTAGGGTAACAACTGTGTTTCAAGCGTGGCACAGCAGCCAGTATTTTGGAAAAGGTTATCATGTACTAATCTTTCTCCTTCACAATGTATCCAAAGTCATAGTAACAAAGGACTATTAGAAAAACCACTAAGCAACCACAAAACATAGTTTTATTAAGAAATTTGAGCTGAATCTCAAGTCTTCTTTAAATCTTCTGCTAGTCTGAAAAAAAATCTTAGGGACTTCTCACAGAAGTAGAGCCATGAACATTTTAAAATATATGTGCTTAACTAAGTAACAGCTTATTATATTAAGAGTTAAGACAGGTTATGTAGTTTTACCACATTTTGATAAAACAAAGGAAGCACGGGGACTAAATACTTTAAGGTAACAGACATAAGACGGCAAAAATAACAAACTTGGCAGTGTAATTCCCTAGAACAATTTCATCTTACATGATAAAATAAGTTCTGCCAGCAATACTTCTACAACTGAACCAGAATTAACAGGAAGCCAGCAATAAACCATGTAAGAACTGCTGAGCTTAAGCAGGTAAGACCACAATCTCCTTGATCTCTGCTAGTGTGTGCACTCTTAAGAGAGCTCTCAGTTTCTCTGAAGTGCCGTAGGAAATGATGATCACCAGTGACTGAAGCAAAAGCCACGATTACGCTGATAAACACTGAGTGAACATCCCTTCTAGAATGCATGAAACCATACCTCCTTCGGCCACGAAAATGGACGAGTGCTGAAAGGTATCGGGACTCTGCAGAGCACAGGAACAAGCGGGAACTACAGAACACTGAGGAAATAAAAAGGCAGAGGTTTTGCCTACAAACAGGTTTCCCCTGCGTTCATCAAAAAACAAACTATGAGCTAAGGCTTCTTTCTCCCCAACCTAAAAAGCTTAAGGAGGGGACTGACCAACAGAATAAGCGAAGAGACACGCTTTATCTTTTAAAAAAGGTATAAGATGTAATCTTAAAGGAGGGAAAAAAAGTCGAGCATTTTAAACTTGAGAACAAAACTAAGATTATCAAGTCAATAAAGTTGAGAAAACTGAAATAAATGAAGCTAAAGAGATGAGATTCATAGCAAGAAGGAAGCAACAGGTATGCAATACCATATCTTGAGAGCCCAAAAATATGTATTCAGAAAGCAAAGAAACTATACAAAAACAATTTTTAAAATACAAAGAACGAAAAGCACAGTTTCCCACAAAGCACGCAAAAGGATGTGCCGTTTGTATACAGGCAGGTGTTACTGCCCTTCCTGGCATTTTATTTATTGGTAAATACTCCCAGAACAAACTGCCACTTGAATTTTCTTTCTTACGTACAACTGTTCTGAGACCCCCAATATCTAAAACCTGCCCTCTAGCTCTGAGGGAAGCTCCAGCCTCTCATACATCCCAGGCTAATTCAACCCACCTGTTAATACAATTCAAGACTAATTCTGCAACACCAAATACAAGCTTCAATGACCCAGGTGACAAGAAGCCACAATTTCCCATTTAGCCTGGTCTTGGCTGACGCCACCGGGTAAGTGAGCAACTGAGCAGACACCATCCTGCAGACATCGGGACAGAATCAAGACGACAGTATTTAAAAGCAAGTCTGAAATGTTGTAAGCTTAAAGTCCTTGGCCTTTGCAATCCAAATAGCTTCCTCAACTTAATTTCTGTGTTGTTTCTTTCCACTCTCTCTCCC